CGACTTGCTTTTTTATATGAGAGGTCTTATATTTGAGATTATAAACTGGGGAATCAAATGAGGGAATAACTTGACCTGTGATTTACGTTTTGCTAAGTGTAGGGTGGGCTCCAGTGTAAGTTATTGAGTCTTATCATAAAGTTGATTCTAGAAAATGAATCAGTTGCCACAGTCAATAAGAAAATAAGCGTGAGCTGTTTTATTTGAGTTTAACATGCGCTTTAGACAGGAAGCATGTTCTCCGCTTTGCGAATGGGAAGGCAGGATTACTTTTCGTAGCAGATGTCACGAGATCCCAGGCCTCTGCCTCCCGAGCCCGCCTCTGCAGGGAGACGAGTCTGGGGACTCGCCTCTGCCTTGTTCTAGTTCCGCTGCTCATTTACCTTCCTGGCAACAACGCAGCGTTGCTGGAAGAGCGCCCCCGGTGATCCACGGGACTCGATTCTCCGACACTTGGACTTCGGCACATCCTCCAGGAGCCGGCTTGTTCCAAGTTTCTACCCTGCAGCCACGCCAGGTGCCACGGACCCTGTCTCTGAGCAGTGCCCAGACAGGCCAGCCCTGCAGACCCTAGCAAGGGGCTATCCCATGCTTGCTGAAAACTGCCCCGTTACAGCCTCTCCAGAGGCAGACAGACAGACAGACAAAGCTGCCATTCCCTGCTGGGCCACTCCTCAATTGCCTACAACAATCAGTGCTGGGCCGCAGCTGAAGCTGGGAGCCAGGAATGCAGCCTGGGGCTCTCACGTGGTGGCAGGAACCCATGAGCTGTCACCACCGCCTCCTGGGGCCTGCGTGAGCGAGAAGCTGGAGTCGGGATTCGGAGCCAGGATTCCCAACGTGGGGACATCCTCTTGGCTGCCAGGCCAAGTCATGCCTCCCCCCATGTTTGTATTCAGCTGCTTCTAGCCTGTGCTCCTCTGTCCCCCTGTAATGGTGCAGCAACCGGTGGGCAGGGTGGCCGTCATCTCTCACAGCCGTGAGGCCAGAGCGAAGACCTTGTCTGCATTCTCCCCAGTGCACAGACCAACACGTGGTTGCTTACCTACAGAAGCGACTGCTTCAAGAAGCCGGCATTTGATTTGGCTCTGGTTGTGGTTAATTCCCATGGTTCCAGCTCAGCTGAACATCACCAAGTCCACGTGGACTTCTTGGCAGTTTTATTCTGCCCTGGCTGTCCACGCAGAGTCCTCTCCAGGTACCCACTCACCATGCAAGCAGGGTCTGCGCTCCCCGGGGAGGGCGCCGACGTGTGTGGGAACTGCGCTGTTGGGGTCTGCAGTACTCTTGTTCAGAAAATTGAGAGTTCACTAATTCTGCGGAGGGCCATTGCTACAAAAGGAAAAAGAAAGACTTTGACCTTGGAGACGAGTGGATTGCAGGGTAAATTGGGACTTGACCGTTTACTGCGATGACACCAAACCTAGAAATCGAGTGTCGTGTGTATGTCCCCAGCCTTGGGCAGCTGCAGAGAAAGTATTCACTTGTTTCATCAGTCAGTGCCAAAGATCCACTGAGCAATTTAATGCTACCTGAGCGCCTTACGCAAGAATGTTACTCAAGTTAAACCTTCAAGTCTGGCTTCTCTAGGGTGTTCTTTTAACAGCTAATGTTCCTTGGTGATGTTCAAGAACTACCGATTTTAATTTTTAAAAATTATCCCTTGGGGCCGGCGCCGCGGCTCACTAGGCTAATCCTCCGCCTAGCGGCGCCGGCACACCGGGTTCTAGTCCCGGTCGGGGCACCGGATTCTGTCCCAGTTGCCCCTCTTCCAGGCCAGCTCTCTGCTGTGGCCAGGGAGTGCAGTGGAGGATGGCCCAGGTGCTTGGGCCCTGCACCCCATGGGAGACCAGGAAAAGCACCTGGCTCCTGGCTCCTGCCATCGGATCAGCGTGGTGCGCCGGCCACAGTGCACCGGCCGCGGCGGCCATTGGAGGGTGAACCAACGGCAAAGGAAGACCTTTCTCTCTGTCTCTCTCTCTCACTGTCCACTCTGCCTGTCAAAAAAAAAAAAAAAAGAAAAAAAGAAAAAATTATCCCTTGGAGGGCCGGCGTCACGGCTTACTAGGCTAATCCTCTGCCTGCAGCGCCAGCACCCCAGGTTCCAATCCCGGTCGGGGCACCGGATTCTGTCCCGGCTGCCCTTCTTCCAGTCCAGCTCTCTGCTGTGGCCCGGGAAGGCAGTGGAGGATGGCCCAAGTGCTTGGGCCCTGCACCTGCTTGGGAGACCAGGAGGAAGCACCTGGCTCCTGGCTTCAGATCAGCGCAGCACCGGCCATAGTAGCCATTTGGGGGGTGAACCAACGGAAGGAAGACCTTTCTCTCTGTCTTTCTCACTGTCTAACTCTGCCTGTCAAAAAAAAAAAAATTATCCCTTGGAGATTTTACTCATAGGAACAAAAAGCAAGTGTCACGGAATCACCGGCTCATATTCGCCACTGTATAAATAACTGCTGAAAATGTACAAAAGATCTGAAATCAACCCTCAATTTCTTCATTTTTAGTTTTTCAATTTGTTAGAGCGAGAGCGAGATTCCCTATGCATTGACTTACTATCTAGATGCCTGCAATGGCTGGGGCTGGGTCAGGCCAAAACCAGGAGCCAGGAACTCAAACTGAGTCTCCCACATGGGTGGCAGGAGCCCAACTACCTAAGCCATCCCCTGCTGCCTCTCAGGGAGCGCGTTAGCAGGAAGCTGGAATTGGGGAGTGGAACTGGGACTTGAACCCGGTCCTCAGGTGTGGGAAGCGGGTGACTCAAGTAGCATCTAAGGGGCCGACACTGTGGCGCAGTGGGTTAACGCCCTGGCCTGCAGTGCTGGCATCCCATATGGACGCCGGTTCAAGACCCGGCTGCTCCACTTCCCATCCAGCTCTCTGCTGTGGCCTGGGAAAGCAGTAGAAGATGGCCCAAGTCCTTGGGCCCCTGTACCTGCCTGGAAGACCTGGAAGAAGCTCCTGGCTCCTGGCTTCAGATCGGCACAGCTCTGGCTGTTGCGGCCATCTGGGGAGTGAACCAGCGGATGGAGGACCTCTCTCTGCCTCTCTTCTCTCTGTGTAACTCTGACTTTCGAATAAATAAATAAATCTTTAAAAAAAAAAAAAAGCAGCACCTTAACCAGCCTGCTTATTGCCTACTCCGTGTTCATCCCTGTGGAAGGCTATAATCTCAGCTGCACTGTTCCTCTAAGTGAGGCGGCACAGAGAAGCTACCTTTCTTCAGAACTCTGTGCCCAGCGCGCTGCTTCCTGCATCGGGGCCTCTGGCGGGCCCTGAACTCCCTCCCTTTAAACGTGGCCCAGCAGCAGGCTGCTCCACGGGCCGCCGAGGTGCGCAGGTCTGTCTGCCCGTGTGCCAGCAGCCCCAGTCCAGTCTCCGTGAACTGGGGAGGATTGCAAGCGCTCCCTAGCGCCTGACGCCACTGCCCGGCGAGCGACTCGACTTCACACTTTCGGTGGCGTCTTGGTGAGACCAGCACTGAAGGGCTGGGGCGTCTGGCTTGTGACGTCATCACCTCACTGTAGCAGCAGAGCCCCTCAGAGCTCCGTGCCGCTGACGTCAGCTGGGGGCTGTGCCCGTGTGTGCTGCCCGGGTATTTGCAGCCCCCATTGTGAGCGTCTGTCTTTCCTTCCTGCTCAGGGCCCCCGAGTCCTGCTTCCAAGCCGGGCTTCCCGGGAGCCACGTGGGTTGTTTCATCTCTGTACCCGGGGCGTGGTTGTCAGGATTGACCAAGTTCATGGCTATAAAGCTCTCAGGGCAGTGCTGCGTAGCAAGGGTTATGCAGTGGGTGTTTTAAGGTGAGGTTGTGCAACCTGGATAAGTGGCTCTTTAAACTTCTTAAAGGGGAAAGAAGGATTGGAGAAGATGTGTTCTGGCAGAGGGAGGCTTCTCCCCTCCTTCTCCTGAGGTAGGAATGGAGTAGGGCGAAGGGCTCTGCACCAGAGAGGGCGGGAGCGGGACCGCAGGTGGTCCTGAGATTTCGGTGGCCGGCAGTGAGCCCAGGGCTGCCTGTGGGGCTCTTCAGAGTACAGAGACCACAGCAATCAGCTGGCAGTGCGTGGGGCTGGGGGCCGGGGGCAGAGGTCAGCCAGGAGCTAAGCGCTGCCTTCCGTTCGTACCCATGGCCAAAGCAGAATGATGGAGGAGCCATTGTCCAGACCCGGTTGCTTTAGAAGATCGGGTTCTTGGCCGGCGCCGTGGCTCAATTGGCTAATCCTCCACCTTGCAGCACCGGCACACCGGGTTCTAGTCCTGGTAGGGGCGCTGGATTCTGTCCCAGTTGCCCCTCTTCCAGGCCAGCTCTCTGCTGTGGCCAGGGAGTGCAGTGGAGGATGGCCCAAGTGCTTGGGCCCTGCACCCCATGGGAGACCAGGAGAAGCACCTGGCTCCTGGCTTCGGATCAGCGCGGTGCGCTGGCCGCAGCGGCCATTGGAGGGTGAACCAACGGCAAAGGAAGACCTTTCTCTCTGTCTCTCTCTCGCTGTCCACTCTGCCTGTCAAAAAAAAAAAAAAAAAAAGAAGAAGAAGAAGAAGAAGATCGGGTTCTTTTGTTGCAAATGTTTTTGAAATCCTTGCCTAGTGTCTTTATTACAGGCGTTCTCCATGACCTTTTGGTGCCTTCCTCCGATAAGAGAAGTGTGTGTGTGTGTGTGTGTGTGTGTGAGTGAGAGAGAGAGACAGAGAGAGACAGAGACACCTGCGTGACTCACGTGTTGCTCTCAGCTTGCCCCGAAGGAAACAACACCTTGTACTGGGGACAGAGAGCGGGCAGCACCTGCAGGTGGCTGCACAGAGGTTGCTGTATCCACTGCCGGGGAGCTTGGGGCCGCTTCTGGTCCTTGGGGGACAGACGCCTCCCCAGGCCCTGGGCTTGCGCTCCAGCTGCCGTTGCCCCAGGCCCCCGGGCTGGCCCGACATTCCTGGCGCTGGGGCTCGGCGGCTCGGGGCGCCCTTTGCCCTGCGGCCCTGGCCCCGGCCGCTCAGCTGCAATTCCTTCCTAGGCACAGCCCTGTCTCGCTGCAGCGGGTGTTTATCTTGTAACCCGCAGACAAGAAGAAGGGAGGCAAATTCCAGCCTTTTAAGAAGCTGTTCGGCAAAAGGAAAAAGAAAGTGACATCGTCGTCGCGCGAAGCGTTGGGGAAGAAGAGTCACTGTCCCCCCCGGAGTGCCAGCAATGGGACCTTCTCGTCCGATGAGGAGAGCGTGGTGGACAGCCTGAGGTAACAACCCTCGCCCTCCCGGGTGGGCCAGGGGCCCTAGAGGCGCCAGCAGGGGCTCAGCAGGCGGGAGCAGGATCCCAAGTGTCGTTCGTTCATCTGGGAAGCGTGGCGGGCTCGGGGCTCGCTGGTGGCCCCTGCAGCAGGGGAGCTGACCTCACTGGCCGGGCGGGCGCAGGGCATTCCTTTCGCTGCTCTCACTGGAGGTGGGAGGCAGCTCACACCGGCTCAGCAGTGCACCTCGGAGGGAGGCAAACCAGGCTCCGGTCACTTGGCCAAGGGGAGGGTGGCCATGCCCACGGGGAGGGCTTGCCCTTGTGTCGCAGATGCAGAGGGCTTGGGCACGGGGGCCACCCTTCGCACCCCTAGCCGTCCCTAGAAACTTCTAGAACCTCTTCTCAGCGAGCTTCTAGCTGCTTTCCCCCCTTACCTCCCTCCCTCCTCTCTTCCTCTCCCCCCAAAGCTTGCTCCCTGCCCTTTCAGAACGCAGGTGCTAGGTCTGGCCTTGACAGTGCAAGAACCCAGAAAAACACTGGGCATTGCCATCAGAGGCAGCCAGGGTCCAACCCCGATGGTGACAGCTCAGGAGCGTCGCAGTCACCGCCTTCAGGAAGCTTTTCCAGCCTTCGGGCCTGGTGCATTTGCCCCTTGCCCGTGTTCCCTAGTGAGGTCTTTGCACGGTTCCAGCGAAGCACTTAGCACTTTCGATGAAAGTTATTGATTTGCTTTTCTGTCTCTCGCCGACTGTCAGCTCCATGAAGTCAGGGCCTGGGTTTTCTTCAGCCTCCTATTAGGTGCTCAAAAAAACATGGCCCCTGAGTGCCAGGCATCGCACAGCTGGCAAAACCTGTGCCCTGCCCGCTGCCGCGTGTGGTGTGACAGCAGCAGCCCTCAGCCAGCCCGAGCACGCTGAACCTCGCCGTGGCCGCCAGCAGCGTCCGCGCGCCGTCCCCGACGCTGACTCTTGTCCTTCCTGGGCCTGGCTCTCTGTTCCATTTAAGGCAGAGGAAGATCAAGTGCACCTGAGGGAGCGGTTGAAAGGCAGGAACGGGGCTGGCAGAGACGGGCCCACGGCCAGAGCAGCAGCGCTGAAACTGGGCTGAGAACCGGCCAGCGGGAACCCGCCCTGACTTCCTTCGGTTTCTCCCGCTGTCCAAGGAATGCCAACACTTTGCTGGCGGTTATCAGAGTGAGATCCAGACACTGCTCAGGTGTGGCCAGGAAGCAGCCGGGTGCCAGATAAGGTCAAGTCTACGAGGTTCTCCTTTGGGAGCACCAGCCAGCGAAAACACAACGTGTCCGCCCCAGGCTGGGCTGAGACTTTGCCCAGTTCCTGATTCCGTACTGAACCACGTCGGATTCCCAGAGGAAGTGGGGCCCCGGCCGGTTCTCGTCCCATGTAAATCCCTTCTACTTCCCAGTTGCCACTTGGTGTTTTCCCTAAGGCTGTAAGCTTTGGAAGCCTTGGAGAATTCCGCATTGGATCATTTCTATAAAACAGAGATAATGGCACCTGTTGTCAATATTGCTCTTGTTGATAAACCTGCACTTATGAGACACATGCTAGATTTTAACGAAATATTTGTCTTTGTAAAATACTCATTAGTAAGGGAGCCAGGCCAATAAGCTTTGGGCTAGAAAGATTAAAAAGTCTCTCTTTAGGGGTGGGCATTTGGCACAGCCACAAGATGTCAGTGCCCTGGGTTCAAGTCCCCACTCCGTTCCCAATTCCAGCTTCCTGATGATGGGCCTCTTGGGAGCAGCAGGTGATGGTTCAAGTGGTTGGACCCCTGCTGCTGCCACTGACAAGGGAGCCTGGGGTCACATTCCTGGTCCCCGGGCATTTGGGAGTGAACCAGTGGATGGGAAGTCCTTTCTCCCTCTCTCCCTCTCCCTCCCTCCCTCCTTCCCTCTCTCCCTCCCTCCCTCCCTCCCTCCTTCTCTCCCTCTCTCTCTCTGTGTGCGTGCGCACGTGCCTCTGTCTCTGCCTCTCAAATAAAAAATAAAAGTTCTCTTTAACTACTTTAAAATTGGGATAGAAATACAGGCAAATAGAAGTACCCTGAAGGGTGCATGCCCCCTTTATTGCAGGAAATGACAGTGACAAAGTCACTGAGCCCACGCAGCAGACACTGCGTGCATCACTCCTAGCATCGGTGACTTTGTGATTATTCAGTCTCTTTGCAGAGGGAGACAGTGACCAAGGTGTTTCCAGCTTATTTTCAGTCTAACGACAGACTGACAGGTGTTAGTTCATATTGTGCAGTCATTCAAGATAGTTGTCACTGCAACACAAAACTCAAAATCCCATGAATATCCTCTTTGGTGCAAGTTCCAAGGAGGCAGATTTGAGCCCACCGTGAGGGGGCCTTCCTGGTTCCTAGAGCTGCCTACAACGGGGAGTCTGGTCGGGCCACAGCGGGCGGGAACACAGAAGGTGGGGTTCCTGCACTGGCCGGAATTTGAGGGTGCTGACCTGTAGCACGCTGTTGAACTCTGAGCGTCTGTAATTCTAGAAACGTCTCAGCGGTCAAGAATAGCTCAGTATTGATCTCTTCCTGCCTGCAAGTTTCCATTTCCTTTGGGCTGTCAAAGCATTCTGTTGTCTCTCTAGGGTGACAGCCTCTCTCTCCCGAGCTGCTGCTTGGAAGTCATACAGACAGACCTTGGGGAAAGCAGAGCACTAGAACGTGATCAGTGTTTAGCAATTGAAAGCGATTTCTTGATTAATTTGATGCAACTAACATATTTCCCAAAAGTGTGTCAAGTAGATGTTACATTTTAAAAAGGCATCTTGGAAAATAAGTTCGGGAAATTAAGGCCACGTAGGATCCTTTCCCTAGGATGTTACAGGGCTTTTCTTGTACTCAGATGCCTTGTGGATCCCTAAGAAGAGGGAACATAGAGCATTCCAAGGTTTCTTTGACTACAGCCCTTTTCCACAGAGAGTGTCCAGTGGTTACATCAAACATATCCCATTCACTGGACTTAACAGAATGTGTTTTGCGTCGATGAACTCACGTAATACGTACCATGACCCCTGGGACTGACAGTGCCAGCAGTTCAAAGACAGAACACTAAAGCTGGAGGGACTTGGCCAAGGTCGTGCCACTGGAAGGGCTGAGCCACTATTCAAGCAGCAGACGGAGCGTCCTTGCCTGCCCCCCATCTGCCTCCCCAGGAGGCTGCAGGCTCGCCAGGAGCGGGTCCCATGGCCCTGAGCCGCCCTTCTGGTCCTGGGCCACCAGGCTGCTCCCGCCAGCTGCCTGCCTGAGCCCCCTGCTGCTCGCTGGCTCCACTGCTCCTGCGTCCAGCTCCTCCTGCATGCGTGGTGGCATCACGCACAACTACAGCGCTCTGTGCCAAGTGCCAGCTGTCGGGGCTCTGGACAGGGCGGGCTCACTGTGGCACTGGACCAATCAGGAGAGAGCCTCGGAGGAGGAAGCCAGGAACTGACCCAGGCAGTGGGTAGGATATGGAGTAGCTGAGGGACAAGGCGTGAACTTATCAGAGAACTGCAGAAGCAGAAAGAACCTTACAAAAATGAATGTGGGCTGGCGCCACGGCTCACTAGGCTAATCCTCCACCTTGCAGCGCCGGCACACCGGGTTCTAGTCCCGGTCAGGGCGCCGGATTCTGTCCCGGTTGCCCCTCTTCCAGGCCAGCTCTCTGCTGTGGCCAGGGAGTGCAGTGGAGGATGGCCCAAGTGCTTGGGCCCTGCACCCCATGGGAGACCAGGAGAAGTACCTGGGTCCTGCCATCGGATCAGCACAGTGCGCCAGCCAGTGGCGGCGATTGCAGGGTGAACCAACGGCAAAAGAAAACCTTTCTCTCTGTCTCTCTCACTGTCCACTCAGCCTGTTAAAAAAAAAAAAAAAAAAAAGAATGTGGCCAACAGAATAGGGGAACTTCTCAACACATGCAGTGAGGCCAGTGATATCCTCGTACCAACACCAGACAGAAACACTGCAGTAAGGAAAAAAAAAAAAAACCACAAACCAATACCCCATATAACCATAGACACAAAACTCCCAACAAAGTACAGGTAGCAAGGTATGAAAAGGATTATATACCATGACCACATGGGTTTAATCCATGAATGCAAGGTTGGTTTAACATACAAAAATCAATCAACATACAAAAGTACTTCAAACTTAACATACAAAAATCAATCAACATACAAAAGTACTTCAAACAGGATGTGGAAAAATTGAATGAAAATATGTTTATTTTGGAGCAAAAACATTCTGAAATATGGGTAGGGTTTTTTTACATAATACTCATTTTTCATGAACTTTTTGAAGACTCCTTGTTATATACTGTATTAATAAAACAGATAACAAAAACCATATGTATGCTGGCGCCATGGCTCAATAGCCTAATCCTCTGCCTTGCGGCGCCAGCACACCGGGTTCTAGTCCCGGTCGGGGCGCCGGATTCTGTCCCGGTTGCCCCTCTTCCAGGCCAGCTCTCTGCTATGGCCCGGGAGTGCAGTGCAGTGGCCCAAATACTTGGGTCCTGCACCCCATGGGAGACCAGGATAAGTACCTGGCTCCTGCCTTCGGATCAGCGCGGTGCGCCGGCCGCAGCACACCGCCACGGCAGCCATTGGAGGGTGAACCAACGGCAAAAGGAAGACCTTTCTCTCTGTCTCTCTCTCTCACTGTCCACTCTGCCTATCAAAAAAAAAAAAAAAAAACCATATGTACATCTCAGTGGATGCCGAAAAAAGATTTGGCAAAATCGTTACTGTTTCATGGTTAAAAAGGCCACTAGGAATAGAAGGGAACTTCTTTGGCTTGATAAAGGGTATGTTTGAAAAATGCCACTGACACCCTACTTATGGTGAGCGAACGAACGTATCCCCTTCAGATCAACAGCAGGACAAGAATGTCTCATCCTTCTGCCCAACCATCAGCCTTGAAGAGAAAAATGTAAAACTATTTCTGTTTTTTAGATGCCATGATCTTACATATAGACAATTGTAAGAAACACACACACACACACACCCATTAGACTTATAAACAAGGTTGAGCAAGGTTGCAGGATGCAAGAGTTGAGTTTCTGTATCTTGCTTATATTTTTGTGTAGTAATAAAAAAAATCTGAAAGTGAGCTTAGGAAAACAGTTCCATTTACAATAGCACTCAAAAGAGCAAAATACTCAGGAATATTAACCAAGAAAAGTGCAAGGCTTGTACTCTGAAAATGACAAAATATCAGTGAAGTAAGATCTCAATAGATGGCAATACACTGTGTGTTCATTGATTGGAAAGCAATGTTGAAAAGGTGGCAATATGCCACGAATTGATCTACAGATTCAGTGCCGTCCCTCACCAAATCTCAGTTGTCTTTTTCCCCCATAAATTATCAAGTAGATTATAAAATTTATGAAGCTGTAAGGGACCTAAAATAGCCAAGAAAATCTTGCAAAATGAAAAACGCTTTTGCACACGCTACTCAAGCGAGAACTCACTCCAAGGAATACAAACACGTGAAAGGTGGCGCTGTATTAAGGATGGGTCTGTAAGTCTAAGATTCTGTAAGTCAAGACTGCAGGCTCTCCTCCTCGTCCTTGAACTTGGACAGCTTGGCGCGTTTCTGTTGGAACTGACAGGTGACTGGGTTTGTAGCTGTTGGGCACTGTGCATTCCATAGAGTGTGAGAGGCAGGGATGAGCCTGGGAGATGTCACACAATGCGTAATCGATTCCAGTCTCTTCCAGCGACTGTAGTTTGTCTGATGAGTGTATTTAATTGCTCCTTAGCATTTCATTTGAATGAGACGCACAGATCTGTTTAGAAAGAAAACTGCTGATCAATTGCAAGTGCCCCTGTTGTCATGGCGACGAGCTGAAATGGGACTATAATTATATTTCCTTATTCCTGAAGTGAATCCCTAATCATTGCCATAGTAATTACCCAATATCTATGGTCCCAAATTACATGATGCTTGTCCAAAAAAGACAAAAGACAAGGAGTGGGAGGGCTGGCCTGAGGCGAGCGCTCGCTGCGCCGCTGCAGAAAACCTCTCCTTTTTTGGACAGGGAGAATTCCCTTCATCGGCTTGCACCCTGAAGTTAGATGATGTCAGTGGTCTTGAAAATGTACCTAGTGCTTACGGTAGTGGCGGGAAGGCTGGGTCGGGTAGAATGATTCCAGCTGTGGCAACTCCTAGCGTCTGGAGCAGTAATGAGATTTCGTATTATCTGATGTACTAGAAAGTTCTAAGTTCCAAGGTCAGTGGACAGAGCAGCCAAGCAATAAGATCTAGGCTGACCCACTTTTTCCTCTGGCATCCTCAAGGAGTGGGTGTTTGGCCGCACAGTCACAAGATGGCTGCCACAGTTCCAGGGGTCACACCCAGATAATAAGAACTAGGGACAGAGAGGGGACTGCCCTCATCGGGTGTGTGTGTGTGTGTGTGTGTGCGCGCGCGCGTGAAGGAGGAAATCTTCGCTAGGATTGTCTCTCCTCCAGCACACTGTCCTTTGCTTTTTATTGTTCTGTTCACACAGCCCTGCAGAGGTAGTTCTAGATAACCCAAGTGAAAAGCGGACAGGCTCTCCGGGTCTCCTCCCGTAGCGCGAGTGCGCAGTGGCTGACGGACAGTGCCCTGGCCCTCAGCGCCAGCTTTTCCTTCTCCTCTTGCCTGTGGACACCTCCCAGGGTCAGGCCTGTCCCGCACCTCCCTCTGCCCTTCACAGCTTGCAAAGAGGAGCCGGGGGCGTGGTGCCCCGCGCCTGGGCTGGGGATCGCAGCACAATGGGCGCACACGCACCGTGAAAGCAGGCTGTCCCTTGGGGAGAGATAGGATCGCACGCCACCAGGCAGTGGGCTCGCCTGAGCAGCGGTGCACCATGCCGCCGGTCGGGTCACTTAGCTGGTGGCGTCCCGTTCCCCTCCCAGGAGCCTCTGAATTTCCTCTGAATTTACCTCTGATGGGCTGCGCCGTCAGCATCCCCTGAGAGTAGCCAAAGGGCCAGCTGCTCCACCTCCTCTCCCGCTTCAGCCCTGCCTGCGACCAGCCAGAGCGCCTGTCTCCTAGGACCTGGCCTGGCCGCTGAGTCAGGTGGAAGGAACGCAGCTTCGAGAGCCCGTGTGTGTGACTTGTCCCTGCAGGCTGGTGACGGCTGTGCTTTCTAGTGCAGGATCTCTCTCTCTCTCTGTCTCTCTCTCTCTCTCTCTGATTGATTTATTGGGGTTGGCTTTGTGGTGTAGCGGATAAAGCTGCCGCCTGCGACACCAGCATCCCATGTGGGCCCAGCTCGTGCCGTGGCTGCTCCACCTCCCTCAGAATCCGCCCATCTGAGCCCTCATCCCCAGTTAATGGGGGGGGGGGGCACTCCAGAGCACTCATGGGTGGGGGAATTACAAAGTGTGTTTATTGTGCAAAGAATTTTGAAATCCATGCATACACAGGATCTTCAAAAAGTTTGTGGAAAATGCAAATTATGAAAAACTATGAATAGATTTCAAAATAAAAAAAAAAAGATTTATTTATTTGAAAGGCAGAACTACAGAGAGGTAGAGACAGAGGTAGCTTCCATCCGCTGGTTCACTCCCCAAGTGGCCACAACGGCCAGGGCTGAGCCAGGAGCCAGGAGCTTCATCTGGGTCTCCCATGTCGGTGGCAGGGTCCAAGCACTCGGGCCATTTTCTGCTGCTTTCTCAGGAGCATTAGCAGGGAGCTGGATGAGAAGGGGACCACCTGGGACTCGAACCGGCGCCCATACGGGATGCTAGTGTCGCAGACGGCAACCCTGCCTGCTACACCACAAGGACGCCCCTAAACTTCCCTTTTACCTGCGTGTTCCATGGACTCTCAGGAGTGCCCACGTGGATTCTGGAGGGGGCTCCTGGTGTCTGACCCTGCTGGGTGGAGGGCCGGGTGTGGAAGCCTTGGGGCTGCAGCTCTCTCAGACACCACGGCCGGCTTGCCCAGGGCTGCACCTCAAACTTACTCAGGAATTAGGGGAAAGCAGGGACTCCTCCCTCTCTTCTTCCTCCTCCTCCCTCTTCTCCAACCAATTTTCTTCTCCTCTTCCCTGCACCCCCCTCCCGCTTTTTTTTTTCTTTTTTTTGGACAGGCAGAGTTAGACAGTGAGAGGGAGAGACAGAGACAAAGGTCTTCCTTCCTTCCGTTGGTTTACCCCCCAACTGGCCGCTACGGCCAGCGCTGCGCCAATCCGAAGCCAGGAGCCAGGTGCTCCCTCCTGGTCTCCCATGGGGTGCAGGGCCCAAGCACTTGGGCCATCCTCCACTGCACTCCTGGGCCACAGCAGAGAGCTGGCCTGGAAGAGGGGCAACAGGGACAGAATCTGGCACCCCGACCGGGACTAGAACCTGGTGTGCCGGCGCCGCAGGTGGAGGATTAGCCTAGTGAGCCCCGGCGCCGGCCATCCCCTCCCTGCTTTTACAACCTTTGTCCTGTGACGTCTGTGCCAATCTTTACAGATGGTGGCCGTGAGATTTGGGTGGAGGCTCTGGCGATGATGGCAAATCTCTGGTGTGATATGAGGACAGAAAGCGCCCAGTTCCTCTTCCAGCCGTGTCTCCATGGAGCTGCAAGTCAGAGTCCCATAGTTTTATATTTTTTTAAATCCTGATCAATACACCCGTGTTTATTGCAGCATTACCCGCAGTTGCCCAAAGTAGGGCCAACCCACGCGTCTGTTGACAGAAGAACATATAAGCAGGAGGTGGCACAGGTACACGGAGTGTTGTTCAGCTTGAGAAATGAATGAAATTGTGCCAAATGCCATAAGGCAGGCACAAAGGAGAGATATTGCATGCCACTTACAGGAAGCACGCTGTCCAGTTTCTAGGTAGAAGGTAGAATGGGGCAGGTGCTGTGGTGCAGCAGGTGAGGCCGCCCCCGGGGACTCCTGCGTCCCGTATTGGGGCACCTGGGATGAGTCGTGCCTCTGCTTCTGATCCAGCTTCCTGCTAATGCACGCCCTGGGAGGCAGCTGATGATGGCTCAAGTGCTTGGGCCCTGCCACCCATCTGGGAGACTTGGATGGAATTCCTGGCTCCTGTCTTTAGCCCAGCCCTAGCTGTTGCAGGCTTTAGGGAGTGAACCAACAAGTGGAAGATGTCTCTCTAGCGCTCCCCTCCCCATCTCTCCTTCCCTTTCCTTCCTTCTTTCTTTCTTTTTTTTAAAGATTTATTTCCTTAATTGAAAGTCAGAGTTACACAGAGAAAGGAGAAGCAGAGAGAGAGAGAGAGAGAGAGAGAGAGGTCTTCTGTCCACTGGTTCACTCCCCAATTGGCTGCAACAGCTGGAGCTGTGCCAATCCGAAGCCAGGAGCCAGGAGCTTCCTCCACTATCCCAGGCCATAGCAGAGAAGTGGATCAGAAGTAGAGCAGCCAGGACTCGAACTGGTGCCCATATGGGATGCCGGTGCTGCAGGAAGTGCCTTTATCCACTACGCCACAGCGTCGGCCCCTTCCCTTTCCTTCTATTCCTCCTCCCCCACTCCTCCTGTCATTGTGCTTTTTGAAATAAAAAAAAAAAAGTAGGGGGCCGGCGCCACGGCTCACTAGGCTAATCTTCCACCTTGCGGCGCCGGCACCCCGGGTTCTAGTCCCTGTCGGGGCGCCAGATTCTGTCCCGGTTGCCCCTCTTCCAGGCCGCTGCTGAGGCCCGGGAGTGCAGTGGAGGATGGCCCAAGTCTTAGGCCCTGTACCCCACAGGAGACCAGGAAAAGCACCTGGCTCCTGCCATTGGATCAGCGCGGTGCGCCGGCCGCAGCGCGCCAGCCGCGGCGGCCATTGGAGGGTGAACCAACGGCAAAGACAGACCTTTCTCTCTGTCTCTCTCACTGTCCACTCTGTCAAAAATTTAAAAAAAAAAAAAAAAAAAACAACTAAGTAGGGGCCTGGCATTGTGGTGTAGCGGGTAAAGCTTCTGCCTGCAACACTGACACCAACGCCGCATCCCTTATGGGCGCAGGTTCGAGTCCTGGGTGCTCCACTTCTGATCCAGCTCCCTGCTAATGCGCCGTGGAAAGCAGCATATGGTCCGAGTGCTTGGGCCCCTGCCCACCGTGTGGGATACCTGGATGGACTTCCAGGTCCTGGCTTTAGCTTGGCCCAGCCCTGACTTTTGCAACCATTTGGGGAGTGCACCCGTATCTTTAATATGGTATTTTTTTTAAAGATTTATTTGTTTGTTTGAAAGTCAGAGTTACACAGAGAGAAGAGAGGCAGACAGAGAGAGAGGTAGGTCTTCCTTTGATGGTTCACACCCCAATTGCCTGCAACAGCCGGAGCTGTGCTGATCTGAAGCCAGGAGCCAGGAGCTTCCTCTGGGTCTCCTGCGTGGGTGCAGGGGCCTAAGCACTTGGGCCATCTTCCACTGCTTTCCCAGGCCACAGCAGAGAGCTGGATTGGAAGTGGAGCAGCCGGATCTCAAACTGGCGCCCATATGGGATGCCGGCGCTTCAGGCCAGGGCGTTAACCCACTGCGCCACAGCACCAGCCCCTAATATGATATTATGCTCAATACATTTTGCCACAGTAAAAAAGCCTCCATCAATATTACGTGAATATGAAAAATCCATGGCCGCTGACATATCTCTAGGTGTTGACAGATTTGGTGTTTAAGACAGGCAACTGACTTAACCATCCTCTCCTAATTCATACTCCGTCTTGTGGTCTCATAGCCACGGTTCATTTAACATCCTTGTCCCCAAAGACATCCAGCATTTGTAAGCACTGGATTGAGACGGAGCGCTCCATCAGCTGTGAGTCAGGGGCCTGAGTCTCTCTTCACCTGCCTGGGCCCCTTCAGCAGTGACGTGGCTGCGTCAGCGCTGTCACCTGTCGCTGCGATGCAGTATGTGAGCCTTGCGGCTGCTCGTCTACCTGGAGACACGGAGTGCCCTGCAAGCCCACGGCTGTCATGGAGGAACACGGGCGTGTGCGGAGGGCAGCGCCGGCTTGGAACGGCAGCTCAGGATGGTCAATCCTGCTCACTGCCTTCTAAGTTGACCTCGAAAGATTCCTGAAGACGAAAGGACTGGCGGTGGCACCTGCTACTGATTTCTACACTGAAATTGAGGATTTCCGAGTGTGAGCAGATAGGCAGTGTTACCTGTTATGGGTCAACCTCCAACCTGAATCTGACCTCACTTACCAAATGATACAGCCCGGAACCTGGGGGACGATGTAACGGGAACAGGGCAGAAGAGGCGTTCGGTGGGAAAATGCCTGAGTTTGGTTTTATGTGTCTTGAGATAGGCGAGACGATGAATGGCCGAGCAGCAGACCCACTGTGTGTGGCCGGGGTGTGGTGGGAGAAGAAGCAGTCGCACTGGAGTTAGGCGTGGAAGGTGATTGTTGGAGTCAGAAGTGCAGGCTCAGGCTAAAGATACCCCTGCACACCGGGGAGCAGAACATTGGTACCAGAAGCTGGTGTCTGCGCCACCGGACCACTCTGGACGATTTGAATCCGGACCTCTGTCTGCCGGTATCAGTAATACCAGCAC